AGTTAGCTATGGTGAGCCTCCTTATTTTAATGAGGATTTCATTTACTTTTCAGTTTAGTCAGTATGTCGTGGGTCTTGTCCCGACTTCCATCTTTATCAGTTAGAGGCTTCATAGATAGTCAGTATAGTTGAGAAGTCTGTATTATTCATTTATTTTATTAAATAATTTAAAGATATAAGTTGCCTACTTTATGGCGAGTTGAATATATTATTTTTATTTTAAGTTGTTCATTTGAGTTAAAGTTTTGAAAAGTTGAGTTTATTGAATTTTATTCAGTTTTTAGATTTTGCATGCTTAAGTTAGTCTTCCGCTTGTAGTTAGTCAGGATGAGGGTTCTCTCGGGGACCAGCAATGGTTCTTGAGTGCCGGCCATGTCCAGGGTGTAGACTCGGGTCGTGACACATATTATATGCACTATTGCAGAAACTAAAACATATGCTTAATAAAGCATTCAATGAACTCCATGAGACTACATTATTAATGTCTGAATAAAGTATCTACTACTTTAGAATGAATATATAAGTCTACCGGGACATGGCCACCAGCTACCTCAAAACAAAGACAAGTTAAGGAAAAAAGTTAACACTCTAAAACAACGGAATCTCCAAATGAGAAGGGCTCACCAAAAGCTAACTGAGAGTGTCGCAACCTCACTAGCCATGAATTTGAGCGTGAATATCATAATCTTCATAATAAAAGTGTGCAACGCAGAGAAATACATGTGTCAATACGTGGAATATACTGAGTAAGGAAAGACACTAGCTAAATCATTTAAAGAATGATGAACAAGACAGTAAAATAATATTTACAAGATTATATGTATAGTAAAAGTGCTGAAGAGAAAACAGTTGGAGTCCATGATCAAGTGTCATAAAAATCTCTTTTCAAAACTACATATACATATAGTTGATTCTATTTTATGATAAGTTGGAATCCATGATTCTATTTTATGCAGGACTACTAAAATGAATCAACTATATGTATATGTACTTTTGAAAAGAGATTTTTATGACACTTGATCATTGACTCCAACTGTTTTCTCTTCAACACTTTTACTATACATATGATCTTGGAAATATTGTTTTACTGTCTTGTTCATGATTCTTTAAATGATTTAACTAGTGTCCTCCCTTACTTACATAGTACATTCCACTTACTGACACATTCCATCCTTTTATGATGTAGATTCTGATATTCACACTCAAATTCGTGGTTAGTGAGGTTGCAGCACTCTCAGTTAGCTTTTGGTGAGCCCTTCTCATTTGGGGACTCCGTTGTTTTAGACTGTTAACTTTTTTCCTCATGTTGTCTTTGTTTTGAGGTAGTTGATGGTCATGTCCTGACAAACTTATATTTTAATTCTAAAGTAATAGAGACTTTATACAGATTAGTAATGTAGTATCACAAAGTTTATTGAATTTTGTGTTAAGCATATGTTTAAGTTTTGCAATAGTTTATATGATATGTCTAATATGTTAAGTCAAGGGTTATCCCTGGATCATTCATGGTCCGAGGTGCCGTGTCTCGGCTGAGGTATAGACTCAAGACGTAACAAACTTGGTATCAGTGCCACTGATGTGTCAGCATTGTTGATATAGGTCAAAGTTCAATTAAGTTTAGGCAAATCCTGGTAAGGCAAGGCAAACCTCAGTGCTGAGTCTAGGCAAATTCTATACGGTGGGGCAAACCTCAGTGAGGATTTTAAGTCCATAGAGGCGGTGTATGTGACACCTCAACTTAAGATTATAAGTCACACATCGGCAAAACATATGAGAGACTTTGGGTATATGAGTAAGCAAGCCTTACCAACTGGTGACGTGTTTTAAAACTGTGCGGGCCTATACCCAAAGTGGGCAATATCACTAATCAGTTGGGCTGTTACAAATTGTAGTAAAGCCACTCATGTGTTAGCCTTGTCTATGTGGGCTAGATTTCAACTGAGTTTAGGCAAATCACTATAAGGTGGGGCAAACCTTAGTGCTTAGTCTAGGTGAATCCCATGTGGTGGGGAAAACCTCATTGATGACGCTGAGTCCATAGATGGGATGTATGTGACATCTCAATTTAAGATTATAAGTCTAACATCGGCAAACCATAGGAGAGATGTTTGATAGATAAGTAAGCATTCCTTACCAATTAGTGACACATTTTAAATTAGTGCAGGACTATGCCCAAAGCGGACAATATCACTAGTTGGCTAGGCCGTTACAATGGGTTTTCAAGATGAGAGGAGCAACCAAAGAAGCTTGTGTTTTCTACAACTGGATTTAAGAGTTCAATAGGGGTCCTTTGGTGGTGGCTCATCCCTTATTTCAGGTCGGGTGGGTAAGGGAGTTTTATGCCATCCTCCCTACTGTTCTATGGGATTCCCCCAACCCCACCATCCGCATTCGAGAAGTGAACTTCCCCCTAGATGCCAGGTCTATAAATGAAGCACTGGGGTGCCAAAGGTATCTAATCCGGCCTATAATGCCAATCTAAGAAAGATGCATATGACATGGTTGCAGAATACGCTGGTGGAAGAGAGTGGGAGATCATTTGGCCTACTATAAAGGGCTTTACCATCCACTACTATTCTCCCAATGATCGGAGGTGGCAATCACTGGTTCACTGCAGGATATTATCAATTACACTTGAAACCACAAGTAAAGTAAGCAGATTCATTGTATGAGATTATCAACATAATGTCATTTCACATTATTTCTTATGTTTTCCCTGACATGCATTGCACAAGTGATAATATAAAGTAGTAGACATGCATACATACATAACTTGGAAAACACACAGCTATCACCTATTGAAAGGTAACCTTCTAGACAGTCCATCATCCTAGATTCTTCGCCCACTACTTCCCTTCCCAAGACAACACACAACCATATCATAGAAAAACCTCAAATTACTAACTGCCATTATTAGCCTAACCACCTTAGGCACAAGCCTAACCGTCCAACTCAGAGCACGAAGGCTTGCGCATGCAAACTCTAAACATACACAAGATATGAGTAAGTAAAGATGGGTTTAACTTCTCAGTTTAAAAAAACTTACCTTACTTAGGCACCAAACATCTATTGATGAACCTTTACTATGAGCTTTCGACTCTATGAGAGAAAACTGTGACGAACAAGGATTTGAATTCCTTGGGTTTTCACCTATCTTGATGTAATCTCTCCTCTCCATTGCTCTCATGCCCTGGGTACCTACATAAGGGTTTTTAGAGCAGTCTTCATCTATTTCGTTCTTTCAAAATTGAGAGGAAAATAATATAAATTATATTAACAAGGGTCTGATTTCACGTAGTCCACCATAATGGTCATGAAGGTCCTATAGCGGTGCAGCCATAGCGGAAGGCTTACCGCTATGGTAGGCTGACGTTAGCCTGATCAATATAAAATAAGTCAATTTTGTTATGAGCTCAAAATTTTAAATTTGGCACCGTAATTCCAAAATTTTAGGATTTCGCATGAGATTCCTTTGGATAATCACAAATTGGGTCATAAAGTCCCAACAACAACCAAGAAGATAATAAATTCCGAAAAATCTAACACTTCATACATAAGAATCAAACAGACAAACTCTACGAGTTCTAATTAGATTTTCATAGTTCAGAAGAACCAAATAACAGTTAGATATACAAGTATCGATAAGAAGTATGCAGGAGTTCACAATTGATACATTATAGTAGCAAACTTTTAAATTTTGAAGCTATTTTTGTTGGTTAACAGTATCACGTACCTGGTGAGAGCATAGATGTTTCAAAAATAGTATGAAATCAGGATTTAAAGGTTGTTAGTAGTGTATTTGACTTTTGATCCCATTGCTTTCTCCACAAATGCAATCTCTCTAAAAGGTTTGTGCAGTCCCATAAATCATATAAGCAAAATTGAGTTAATTTTTCAACTAAAAGGTCAAATATTTGAATGGAGATTATGGAATTCAACCCATTAAATATTATACTAGAGAAAATGATTTATAATTAACATAAAATGCTTAGAAGAATAACATAATAACATGATAAGATTGAGTTTTCTTTTGACTACTAGTCTATGAGTAAGATGCAAGGATTTGTAATATCATTGAATAGTGTGCAGTTTATACAAGATAACACAGCTTAGAATATATTCATTTCTATAAATATATAACTTGGAGTTAATAGAAGTTTGGATGAAGAAAGGAAACCTACCTCATTAGTAGCTTTTCTTTCTAGCATCTCACAACTTTTCAAATTGATTCAAGAAAATACCGACACAATGTCGCAATCGACGTGATCTGGAAGTTTATATGAAGTGGAGCTTCATTAAAGGGATCTTATGTCGATATGAGATGGGGGGAAGCTGATATTTCACAATTTTGGTGGGCGACCGATCAAATTCAAGCCACGGCGGCGAAGTTGATATGAAAACTCTGAGAAACTGATATCTTTTCCTTTCCACTTTGACTGCCTTTTTAGGTTTCGCTATCTTTTTAGCTACTTTTGTATCGTTTTTCTTTAGCCCTATTTGTTGTTGGATTGGGCATGTACTTCGTTTTGATTTCTATAATATAGCTTATGGGCCTCACCATTTAATTAAGTAAAAAGTAATTGAAGGAGTGTTGTTACAGTCTTTAGTCTCAAGGGGACAAGAATTAGTTCAACATTTTTACATTCTTTAATTTATTAAAAAATTCTTACTTACACCTACTCCAACTATTTCTATTAATAATAATAATTAATATTTATTATAAGAACTACGATTACATGATTATATTTTTTTAAATTTGGGTCTTAGTTCAGACATATTATTTGGGTGAAAAAATTATAGGAAAAAAAGTCTTATGGGTCGAGTTCTTATTTTACCCATCTTGCAAGAATGGGGGTATATTTAAGATTAGTTTGTTAAGAAGAGGGGTATTGTTAATACTATCAATAGTTCTAGGATGAAACTAATAATTCTTGTCAAGTTCAGGGGTGTTTTCAACACATCTCTCAAATTTTTATTAAGAGTCGCATGCTCCTACAAGAGTTTAAAATCACTTTCTATTCCATGTGGCAGATCGAGGGTGTATTTAAGTTGATTTAGTGAAGTATATGGATATTTTTAGGGCTAACAATAGTCCGAGGATAAAACAAATAATAAGCGCCAATTCCAGGGGTTTTCGCAATACTTCTCTCAATATTTATATACACTCCTTGAAATTTTATCCCTCATATCACATTGCTTCTTACTATCATTCTTGAGTTTTTCTTTGAATAAATTTTATTTCTTTTGTATCTTTTTATCACGACTGTAACACCTCGGTATTAGAAAGAGCTAATTTTAGAAAGAACTAAATTGGAAATAGCTAAATTGAGAATTTGTGCAAGTTAGTCTTCACTTGTGAGTTTTGAGTTAACTTCAAATGACCATAATTTTCATTACAGGGTGAGTTAGGTGGTCCATGAGATATCAAATGAAAGATCTTTGAGTCCTCTTTCCAACGCCTCCAAGTTTTCTAAATTCTGAGTTTAGATGCGGGAGATATGCCCGTTTGAGTTCAACCTGTCCTATTATAGAAAGTTCATCCGAATTAAGGAGGGGTATTTTGGTCTTTTCCTGACCACATTAGCCTTAAGCGTGTTTTTCACACAATTATGGGTCAAAGCTTATTATCAATTTACGCTAAAGTCTAAAATGTTTGGAAAGTTAGGGCAAAGTTCAAAGAGGAGAAAAGGGAGAAAAGCTTCAAGCATTCAAGATTTTCCTGCGATCTTCGAGGGATTTCACCAAGGATTTGATCCTAACGTGGTATGTAAGCTTTCATAGTGATGGTTTTGTTCACCCTAACGCCAATCATGAATTTCTTGATTAAAATTTATCCATGAAATCCATGTATTGATGTTTTTAATGAGTTTTCTTGAAGTTTCGTTCTTCAACATTTATTATTGGAGTTTGATGAGTTCTTGAGGTGAGGGTTTGAGTTTGAGGGTTGTTATTGATGAGATTTGAGTAGATTTTTGTTTACTTATATTGGGTATACGAATCTAAGAGAGTTAGGAAGAAATCAATCGATTCTAAATGAATTAGGGTAAAACATCGAGAAGAAAAAATCATTAGAATGACCTGGGGGAACGGTGGCGCGACGCGCCACTGATGCGCCAGGGAGGCTAGCACGCCGCGCCTACAGTCCATGAGAAAAGAGTTTCTGAAGTTAGGGGCTAGTGCCCCGCGCCAGGGTCGCCTGCCCCCCTTCCCTTTTAAAATGTATCCTTGCTCTCTTCCTGATTATAACTATTCAAACTACATCTAATTATTGAAAAATCCATATATCCAAATCATAATTCTTGAATTCACACTTTCAAATTCAAGATAGAGTTAAGAGTAAAGTTAGAGGGAGTTCTTTTGAGTGATTTTGAGAAGTCTTTTGCAAACTTTTAAAATTTGTTTTAAGACTTGAGCACTTGAATATGAGGATGAGGAGAGTTGAGTTTCATTTTTCAAAATAAATATACGGGAACTAAGTATTCTCAAGAGTAAATACTTTAACATTTAAAATGAGAGGAAACCTTGATTTCCAAATGAGTTCATGAGGAGTTTTTGAGCACTATCTCTTTTAAGATAACCTTTTGAGTAATAATCTCAAAGGATGAGAATGAGGAAATGTTTTTTCAAACATATAAGCATGAGTTATATTATTGGGAGTAGTATTGAGCACCGATATGGGGACGAGTTCAGACAACTCAAAGTCTTCATAAACCATGTATGCCAATATGGGTAAAGGGTCATACTTTTTAGATGATTCCTTATTGCTTCTAAGCATAGCTTAGTGGATCCACTTATTTGAGGATGTCTTATACTCTGGCAAGGTATATGACATTTATGGCAGCGTAGGCGAGACGTTGTATCATCACATAGCTCATAGTGATGGTTGTCGGTTAGAGAATCTCTCAAATAAGAGTAAAAGAGTTATTATTGTATTTTTAAATACATTGAGTTATTATCTACTGTTTTAAAAGCTTATTTATAATGCATCTTTATTGTTGCTTTTATATTGAACTGAATTGAGTATTTCTGAGTTTGAGTATCCTTGAGTTAAGTTGAGTTGATGTGAGTATGGTTTCATTTTATCAGTTCAAGCTTACCGGTTATATTCAGTGTTCCCCTTACATGATTGTACATTCCATGTACTAACACCATTTAGCCTGCATTTTCATGATGCAGATACAGGTAACCAGGGTCATCAACCGGCGCTCTGTTGATCCAGTCGAGTTCCAGATTTGCTTGGTGAGCCTCCTTGCTTCCGGAGGATTCCCTTTTACTTTTTAGTTTGGTTTTGTTAGGATGTCATGGGTCTTGTCCCAACGTCCATCAGAGGTATTAGAAGCTTCATAGACAGTAGTGTTTTTGAGTAGTCTTTTCATTTCCATCATTAAATGTCTAAGACTTGAGTTGCCTCTTTTGGCCAGTTGAATGTTTTCTTTAAAATATTTTGAGTTATCTATTTTGAGACTATTTGAGAATACATTTACTTTTGAGTTCATCTAATGTTGAATAAGTCTTCCGCTAAGTATTGAGCTAGGCCAAGGGTTCTCTTGGGGGCCATCAATAGCTCTCTAGTGCCGGCTACGTCCTGGGTGTATGCCCGAGGTATGACAACCTTGGTATCAGAGCACAGAGTTCAAGAGTCCTAGGGTGTCTATGATGTCATGTCTATAGAGTCTTAGTTATCGGTGTAAAGCGTGCCACATCTATAATTAGGAGGCTATGACATTTAGGAACTATCTCACTTCTTTTATACTCTTTTCGTGCGATAGAGTTCAACTCTATAAAAGTTTCTTTATAATTCATGCTTGCACGTATTTTTCAGATCATGCCTCCACGAAGAGCTGTTCGAGGTCATCCTGCTAGGAGAAATGTTGATCCCAAGGATCAAGGGGTCCCTAATGAACCAGAAGTTTAACCCCAAGGAGAGGTCACTAATTCTTAGTTCTGGGATACTATCCGAATGTTGAGTCGAGTAGTGACCAACCAAGCGGGTCAATAGAGAGGAGTTGGACAGGATGTGGCTGATACATCCAGAATCCATGAGTTCTTGAGGATGAATCATCCAGACTTCACCGGCTCAAGTTTCATTGAGGATCCAAAAAACTTTGTGGAAGAGTTGCAGAAAGTGTTTGAGGTGATTCATGTTGCGGATGGTGAGCATGTGGATTTCGTTACATACCAACTAAAGGGTGTTGCTAGATTTTGGTAAGACAAACGGAAGAAGAGCAGAGCTGAAGGGGCACCAATTGTGATTTGGGTTGTGTTTGAAAGTGCCTTCATAGAGCGTTTCTTTCCCCATGAGTTGAGAGAGGCAAAGGTAAGAGAATTTCTCACTCTTAAGCAGGAATCCATGAGTGTGCATGATTACAGCCTCAACTTCACTCAACTTTCCCGTTATGCTTCGGAGATAGTTGTTGATATGAAGAGCAGGATGAGTCTATTTGTGTCTGGGTTGTCTCGTCTGTCAAGCAAAGTGGGTAAGACTGCGATGTTGATAGAGGAAGTGGACATAGCAAGGCGTATGATCCATGTGCAACAGGTTGAGGAATATAATTTGAGAGATAGAGAAGAGTTCTGAAACAACAAGGCTAAGACGACAGGTAATGAGTCCGGGCAGCAGAAGGGCAATGCGAACCGATCATCTTTTCAACAAAGACCGAATGGGACTGCACCACCATCTGCTAGTGCACCTGCACCAAAGAACAAGGAATGACACCTTAACTCATTCACATTTCTCCAGTCTATGATTGAGCACAACTAGTGCCAACTTACGGCTATGACGAGCCTCCAAAGTCTCAAACACGAATAGATGATCAACAATCCAAAATCAAGTCATACCGAATAAGGATTCGCGTGCTAAGGCATACTACAAGCAACGCTAGAACCTAAACTAAGGATCCCAATCCCGACAACATAAGTCTAACGTTCCTATTGGAGTCCAAAAATGATAGAATAACAGAATGAGGCTAATACCCAAAAAATACAGTCCTAAATCACATGTAATTCATACTAAACATTATCTAAATTTCCCAAGCAAGAAAGTAGTCTGAAGTCTACCTCGAGGTAGGTCACATGCACTCCAAATCCACCACATAAAAGCTATCCACTTCTGAAACGACTTTGAATACTGCCACACTATCAAATTGTTGATCACAATGTTAAAATGGACATTTAGACACTACATTTGGAATAACTGGAGATGGGCCCAAAATTTAGTCAAAATGAGAATATGGGACCCC